GAGGCAGAGGATTATTAAGTATAATTTTTTTGGGATTTCAATAGCATTAATATGCAATGTTAGACATATTGGATTGTGATTAAATTACTAGTACGGTTGCAATATGGCAATATTTACGAAATGGGCTCACTGCAAAACAAATATTAAAATAAAACCAACACTTATTTGATTTATGAATAATTGAACTTGTGTAACACAGACTGGTCGAATAACTCGCACCTGCACATGGTGGCCGTGAGCGAAACGTTCTAAAATTAACCTTCTGCCTTGCATTAATTAATTATTCATTATTATATACATGGATAATATATATTTGTTTTAATATTTCATTTATACGAAACATATAATTCACGTGTTACATCCACTTGACAGATAATCAAATCCTAAAGTAGTATTCAATGACTTAGTGACGAACGATACAGATACGTTTATTTCTACAACGGTAAGTATAATCTTGCATTACTGATGAAGAGCAATATAGCTTAATCTATATATGTATTATCTCATACCTGTCCTATCATTATAGGTTTTTATCAATGATGAAGTTCTGTAGTTTGTTTACGAATCATGCTATGTATTGTACGATAGAGAACACTGGGTTATTGATTATATCATTATTATATTTCACAAGTGTGTCACGCTTAATTTATGCAAGCTGGCATACCACAGTTTTCAGTGTTTAGAAATAGGCAAGGTGAATGACAAGCGAGTTTAAATACTTATTTTTGTATCTCAGAATTAGCTCTAATATGAAGTTGGTATAATATAAGATTATACCCCCGTGTGTATACGCCATGAAACTAGTCTAAATATGCGTGGTAAAATCGCCTCTGTGGTAATTATTCGTTAATTGGTAATGGTAATACTTTGTCAATAGTATGTAATATATGTCATATGTCGCGTTCGCGACAATGTTGTGTGATAAAGTAGTGTAATAATTTTCGATATTTCTAAACTGTATTAACAAATCAGGTAATCTGATTTGTCCGTACAAAATGATTACAACCATTGACATAATGGCTAGAAATCTCATAGTACGCCGACAACTCAATATATTGATGATTCAGCAACAATGTACTTGGAGGTATGCTAGGAAGTATATGAATTTAAATATTTCAATTAAATACGATTTTGTTATAAAGCCGAGCATACATGACTCGCCATTTCTAATTTAATTTCTTCATGTACATGTTTCTTCAAAGTCCAATGGGAATTTCTCAAGCATTGTGTGAAGGTCATGGATTGAATTTACTCCAAAATTTGTAATCATCTTCCCAATGTATGCCCGAATTCATAAATAAATTGGGAGCTTCAAAAATATATTTCTATTTATTTGAACACCTATTGCGGTTACTTTACGTTTATTTTTGTGGCAATCAATACATGATTCCTGGAATGCATTGGTAACATGATTACTTTTTGGAGTCAAATCAATCCGCAAGAAATAATGGATTTAACTAAATAATGGATTTAACAAACTCAAGGTACCCAGTACAATTTAGGATTATTCGAAATGATGTCTAGCGTGTATACACATTTTAGCCGACATACTGTAAAACCATCAGTATTGGCGTATTTTATGACTGCCTGGATCAATCAGATTCCGGGGCTTGTATTAAATATTATGGAACATTATTACTATGCTCCATTGACAGAAAGTAATAGTAGTTGGAGGTGAACCTTGCACGTTAATTTGAAAATATAACAAATTCTCGTGAACGAAGATATGACCATATATGATGCATGCAAAATTGAGGCACTCCTGGGAAACAAATCCCATCATTTTCCCAAAATCCAAAATGACGAACAAAACATTTGTTTCATTACAAGCTATGGTCATATATGCTAGGTGCGAAATATTCAGCTGAAACAACTGCGAAAATCCAAGATGGCGACGAAATCATACGGCTCACCCAAATAATTTGTTTTCTTTCTGAAGCATTTCGGTATAAATATGCAACATAGCAAATTTCAAAATAATCCGATAAATGGTGCATCAGTAAAAACATACTTCCTGTCTAGAAGAAATCAAAGGTGGCAGCCAAACCATGTGACCAATCATAAATAACTTTGCAAACTAGAATGAGCATTTTAAAAAATTCAGATAAATGTGTTCAGTGAAGATTTGTAAGAAATTTTGTCATTTTTCGGGAACAAACCTGGTGGAAAATGTTACGTAACCGCTAAGGTTCCGTGAGATGATCCCCCCCCCCCATCCAACAGAGCTTTTGGGGTTGGGGCTCATTATTGCTGTCATATTATACCTACGGTTATTTATTTAGTAGCTACAGTCACATGATTTAAACATATTGAACTTTGACCCGACACAACGGTTAATAAATAGGATAGACACACTCATGTAACAGATTTGCTAAACTCTCGTCAGCGACATTATCTACTAGCCCTGTTCGTGAAGTACAGGGAATATACGGTAACCATGTGTACGACGATCAGCTGAACTGTCACACGCTGGAGTCGTATGAGAGAAGAAAGGTCAGCACAGGTCAGTACCATTCACAGGCTGTGCATCTATCAGGGTGGGTACGAGAACTGTATTTTTCCAATAATGATATAGTTTCTGAAAGCCCTAAAATTATAGTTCAACACCAAACTCTATGATGCCATTAGTAATAATTAATGCGCCGTTCAAATTATATCTTCAAATGTCCGTAATATTTATATTTTAGAGTGAAGTTGAAGAATTTCGCGACAGAATGTTAAAGACAATTGTCGCATATAGTATACTATAGTATTGTAAAATGTAAACTGCAACATGTGTGATGAAAAAGAAACCTATGAATAGTGAGGTGCAACTTCGCCTCATCGCCAAACCTTGGCAGATTCTAGTGAGAAAGAAAAACATGGTTTAAGTGCACCGTCTTTAGCAAAGCTAGTGATATGTTCTTCAATGCACTGCCCAATAAAATCCATTATTATCACGGAAAATAAATCTGCAGTAGAAGATTTTCTTCCTAGCCGGTGATTTCGAGATGTTTCACAATCGGTTACCCGGGGGCTGAAAATCCAAATAATTAATTCAAAATAATTCAATCTATTAATTTGTCACCCTAGACACCAAAGATGATCGTCATTATGGCGTTTTTCCATGATCACTGGTTAATATATAGAGGTATAACAATTACTCATAATGGAATCAATAATAGATTATGATAAATAGTATTAATATTTTCACTATAAACATACAAATAACAATTGCATTCAGGCATATATTTAATATACTTGTCATTTGTGATGTCATGCGATATGCTATATGATTAACGTCCGAAGTGCAACGATTCCAAGTGTTTGTTCTTCAGGGTTGGGGGAATGTATTGTGAGTCTCACGGTAAAGAGATGAGCATGTATGATGATCCATATTTCTGTTAGTATTGTATGGAGCAGCAGAGATGTAATCTGATTTTGTAGTTACGAGTAGTTGGAATAACCTGTGTGAAATGCGTGTTTCAAGGTAAAACGCAAGGTGGTGGGCATTTGATCATTTGAAAACAACCGACCAATGAGTGTTTTTCCCAATAAAAGAAACATTCTTATTCCGATTTCACTGTTACAATTTTCGCAACATAACATTGACGCGTATTCTTCAGCGGTTTTAATACGTGATTGAATGCAGTTGTACTTAACGGGGCGACAAATATCACTACTAATTTGGCAACTGTTATTAAAAGTGTGGGCTATCGTCAATGTGTGTATCCAAGGATATACGAGGTATACAGCACAATTACATGTAGGTCTTATTTTCTCAAAATACTTTGTTCACATACCACACAGTCGACTGCAATGTTTAAACCATTATTTCATTTCTTTACAAATATAGTTGTCAATGATACATTTGCAAATACTAGTGATAAAAATGTGGGCATTATATAAATATGACTTAGGTGTCAATGTGAACCGACGTATTCAAACTATATCGTTATAAATTCAGTCAAAACACTTTTTAATCTGTGTAATTGACGTAATTATAAATAAGTAAAAAGGGTAAAATTTGTACAGTTTCCAAGCGAAATGAAATTCCAGTAAATAAATACAACTGTCCTTTTTGTAGTTTATATTTCAGACTAACTTCACTTACCCACTGTTAGGGAACAGCTATTAAGTAGAGTATTTTCGAAATTTAAATAACAGCATTATTGTTTATTACAGTAAGCATACTCGTAGACATACAGCTCCATTACATGCATAGGAGTGAAACCCGCCACCCTCCCTCAGGTGCGTGCATTCAAGCATGTGGCGGGTGCAGATTACCAAAGGTTTTTTAGACCCGTCATTATTCGGGTTTTTATTTCTGTTTTTTTCTGCACGGCTTATGTGCCGCTTATAGGAATCACCGTTTTTACTACCCCATGTACAATAGCTATTAGTTTTCAATTTCCTCATCTATGTATACGTAGTTACTACACATATTTGTTAGTAAATCTTGAGATCCGTGTACTCATGGCAACGGCATCACACTCTGATTGCCAGTGTGTGTGTGTGGTTTTATGGTGTGCCAGTGTGGTAGAGTGGAAACATAGTATATCTCAATATTGTATTAACAACGCCATGATTTCAGCTTTACCAGTTGGATATAAAACTTGAATGTCTTATTTCGGTTTTTCAGGTTAATTTTTATGTTGTGCATTAGGAGCATTTTCTTTCGCCATATTTATATTCTCACGACATATGTGCATGGTATCTTTGATTCAAAATTGGATCGGGAAATCGTGACTGAGGCTGTGGATATTCGTTTCTCTGTACGAGCGTTGAATGAAATATGGAATGAGTCTGAATTTGCGATCCACACTAAAACTACGATATAAGTGAAGACGCAGTTAGAACTGACAACTCGATTTAATTATAAAAAATGTATATAATACATGTACCGATATTTAAAAATACTGTGCGTTTCTACCATGATCGCAGAATTCAAAATTTAATTACGATTATCGTGGTAACGTGCTACCACATTTTGCCATGCAAATGCATTTAGCATCAAACTCCTAATTATCATCACTCAAAAAATACATCCCCATAAACGTGGACTCTTGCTGTGAATCTAACCTCACCGAGTCGTCAGGAAGATACACTTTCATGTAAATTTTATCGTTTTTCATCAATCGAAATAATCCAGAATGGAAACTGCTGTAATAGAAATCAGAATGCCCCTGGGTACGTCCACTCTTCATAAGATCTATTGGGTCAGGTTGGTAGGCTCGATTCTCTGTTCGAAAAAATGAAATGTTAAAAGTTAATGCACGAGCAATCAATATTTTATTCATTATATTTCACTGTGCCGTTATTTGGTTTGTGGTAAAAAAGTTTTATGTTTGCTGGTTGCCATGGTTATTGATTCTCCGGTACGAAGACCGGGCAGTGGGTCTAATGAATAGCATAGAGAATAACGGTAAATACATTGCATCATAATGTGAGTTCACTAACCCCGCACGGTGTAGTGCAGATATTCGCTGGGGCGTCCTGCTAGCCGTTCGTTTCCTCCTGAATCGTCACGAAAGTACACCTAAGGGTGGAACAGGAACGTCATACGCTATCGTACATGGAATATGGCGTAAGTGGCTGTTGGGTGGTGTTCGGTTTTTGGTGTTTCAAGTTCACAGTCACGGTTGGTTTTCATTGAAACAGCGAGTGTGTGGATCATCATCTGACGCAAGACCACTTAATAATTGCCCATGGCGACAGTATTAACATTCGTTCAATATCACTAATGCAAAATAGTCTGTCAAGCCAAATCATTGCCAGATATCTGTAGCCCAATTCACTCATTGGATTTTAATAATAGGGAACTTTTACGAAATATAATATTATTTTCACTGATGATAAAAAGATGGCATCAGTGAATTTTAAAAAACACTAAAAAATCTCAAATTACTGTTTGATGTTTCATCTTTCTAAACACAAAGTAAAAACTAAAAAACGATATGATCTGACACGGATTTAGGTCTTTCCAATATTTCATCTAATTTTAGGCTGTGGTGGTGATAGTGTTATTGTTTTAAGTAACATACTTACTTGACTGTACACGTAGTAGATTCCAGACTTGGGGACCACTATGTGATGTTCATCAACATGTACTTGTTTAGTGAACGACTTGCCGTCATGACATTCCCAGGGACCAACCTTCTTGTAATTCGGTTGTTTACGAATACGTTTATCTAAACGAAGTACAAAAAAGGCTGATAAAGGCGTGACTTAGTTGTGACGTGAACATTCCTTAAATTATGTGAACTGCTTAGACCACATCTTCGCTAGCCAAGGTCTGAGTTTATTCGGCCAAGCCTCAGACGTTGGCAGAACGACCACGTGGTAGAACGACCATCAATTATACGTATTCTAACAGCGCCCCCAGTAGTCAGTTGCGGCTAATCATTGTCCAATAAGTTTGCGTGTTGCAAATCCCTCTTTGGCGTTTCATTTTAAACAAAATGGCAGCGCCCATAAATCGTGATATTTGTGATGATAAAATTGCAAAAGTTTTCGGTGTTTGTGCTCTCAAGCCTCATCAGGTACAGGCAATCGACGCAGTTGAATTTTATTTTATAATTTGTTACGTCCAAGCTGATTGGGCGCCTTGTATCGAGGCGCGCCCAATCAGATTTCACTGCTTAAGATACGCAATTAACCTATGCGATCCCGTGCGGTATCGCGTAGAAGCCTATAGGTCGAAAACACGGGACCGTGCGATTCGGACGATGCTTAGACCACTGCATTTAATTTCGTATTCATGGTGTTTTCGCCGGGGTTATAGTTCCAACCAGTTTCCTATTCAAGTAACGTCGCTGATCGGATGGGAACATGAACATTTTAGGTGGCACAGTGTAGCTTTTGCGTGCATTCAAATACGTGACGATTGATGGTACGTGTATTGAATATGCAATATTATTATTTGATACGGCATGTTGGAGACCAAATTTGTTGTAATCTAAAAGAAACGTTTGTATTGGTTCGATGAAAACATGAAAAACGTTAATACACCTGTGCGATGACCTTCGTGAAAAAAAACACGGGTCAAAAATATCGCGTAGTGTGGATCGATACTGAACCCAAATAATTATTCACCGATTCACTTTTAGCTTCAAGTACATTTTACGACAGTTGCAATTACTAAGAATCACTAACATCGACTTTCATCGTCATAAATTTGAAATAATCACCAAAACCTTATACATTAAAAACAAAATGATTACAGCCTTAAACGTTTACAAAATATAGCCGAGGTGCCATTACATTCTGATATATACACAGCTGTAAATACCATAAAGTACTTGTCCTTTTCTCAAATAATTCAGCCTAGAAATATGCCAAAGAAATTAAGAAACAAAGCAAAACATAATATGTGTTTCTTTTAGTTAGTCACTATTGAAATGAGCAAATGGCATCGTAATTAATGGATTGGACACTGATTCACGCATAAAATAGTTGTTTGTTCAATCATAAAATGTCAAGAGTTTACGTAATCACATATGCTGTTATAGAAAACGCCCGCCGGACGGCGCCAATCTAAAAAAGCGCCCTCTGGCTGTATATCACAATCAGTGACTCGCCTTGCTGGCAGGTTATCTTCAGTTATTTACACCTGAATATACCTTAAAAACTTTACAGTCGTCACACTGGGATGTGTTTAATGTGGGTCCCATGCAGCGTGTATAACGCATGTAATAATGTTTGTCTGCTAGACATTCGTGAAGTTTAACGTGAATTCATTGTAACATCCTTACTTGCGGTAAATCCGTATTGCGATGGTCGTCCAGTCACGTGCACGGCAAAGGGAAAACTATTGGTGTTGCCAGCGATAATCTCAGTTTTATTGTGATGTATAATCTGCTCAATCAATCGCTGTACATCTCTGATCGTTACATACGGTTCATCTGCAAAATAAACAAAACTCATGGTTTGACTGACCGGATTGTGTTATCCTGACAAAATGTTCTAGACGATCGCGACTTGGTACTTTCAACTACCTTGTGTTTGTCCTCTGTTACGTTGCTGTTCGTCTTCATCTATGACTTTCAAAATCAGCTGCAAGAGGGAATAGACCATATATTACGATTATTATACTATTATTATACTTAGTCACTTATAGTTTTATAAAACAAGGGTTACAGGAAATAAACATTCCTATTGAATTGCCATCATGTTTAACATTTTCACAGTTCAAAGAATATATTTATATTGTTTATATAAACCATAGTTTGTGATCAATGACTCGGGACTTCAGTTTATAAAAAAAACAGATTGTTATGGGCCATGTTTGTATTTTTGGACACAGCTGGATTGTATATACATATTTTTACTTTGTACCAAGGACATTTTAAATTAAACATTTCCAAGTTTAAATGCCATAAGCGTGTCCGCATCTGTCACAACGTTGGTTTGTTCACCATAATTTATCATTTCTAAACAATTTTTGTTTTCGAAATATGAAGGGCTGAAACACGATGTGTCATCGCCCAATTTATGCGCGGGTATTCATCAAGATTGGGTTATTTGAGATGTTAAGATTTCACGAAACGTGTACGCGTACGTTCACATATATGCGCTGCAAATTCCAAATACGCACTTAAGATTCGTCAAAGTTTTCAACAGATATGTCTATTGTGAACAAATCGGTAGAATGGAGAGGGGACAAATACGTATTACCTCAACAACCAAGTAGATTATGAAGGGCTGTAAGTTCAGCTTGTTTGTATCATCAATAAATTACTCAGTTTGTATGAGTGCCCGCATACCAGGAATGGACATTAGACGTAAATTGACGCCGAAAGCAAGATCATGACAGCATGTGAGATTCATTTTATTTCATTAATAATTTTAACACAAATACTATATTATTCAACTTTTTACTATAAACCAGCTACCAAATACATGTATCACTTTGACTCCACAGAGTGTTGTTTGGGTCACCAATAATTCACGACTGTTTGTGATGAAAGAAATACTGTAGAACACTTTATTTTCGCTGGAATTAATTTTTGCTGAAATTACTTTTTAAGTGTGTTGTATGGAATTTATTTTCACTGATTTTTGGCGAGTTGAATGTAAAAGATAGATAAAAAGGTATATTCGTTGAGTTTTATTTTCACTGAATCATTCCTTCAGCGAAAATAGCGAAGATTAATTCAAAGCGAAAAATAGAATATTCGACAGTAGTTAAAATGATGTAGTCTTCAAAATTCGTTGTAATATCTTGTATAGAGATATAAATATAAAACATACATCACATTATGGTGAAACTCAACATTTTTTCAATTAAAATCATTTCATCTTTGATTTTTCATATAAAGTAGGATTTTGTTATCTACTGCCAAAAGTATTTTTTTCCTAAATTTCAAACTTGTTTCTTGGTTGGATCGATTAAAAAAATAAAGTTTTGTTTGTTTGATCTAAACATCAATAAACAACATTAATAAACACAAATAAAATAACTTATAATCTGAGGCTGGTTTATACAGTGTATTCCCTCATACTACCCGACTATACTATCTGATTTGCCATGGCAATAAGTATCTAGAACATTATCTAAACAAGAACAACAACTTTTTTTATAACTTCAAATGAGTTTAGGGTCTTCAAGCGAACAACAACAATACTAGTACGTTTGTCAAGAACACTAACCGACATATACAGCATTATAGTTTTTTGTGTGTGTCCGCCTCGTACGCTGGTCGTTGTTTGCGCGGCTAACCCCATATAAACTAACTGTGACAATATAGCGATAAGTTCAATTAAACAGTATTCTTTCATTGAGTTATTATACTTGTTTTTATGAATGCTACACTATTTATTTTTTGCATGGTAGTACACGACCACGAGGGCGCTAAACTTCCGAGGTCCACAGATCCAAAAGGACGTTTTCTAGGACCAAAAGTACTTTCCTATTCAATTCTGAACAAAAATCGTCCGCTATCGAAGGTTAAAATGTAAGAAAAATAGGGACGAGCTATAAAGTATGATTACTGCATTATCCACACTTCATCCACTGAGGTATTGTTCGAATTGTTTTACCGTTGGTGGCGTTAGCATTCCGAGTCTAGGAGTACTAGTATGTTTTTGTCATCGATCTTTACTCATTCATATTCATTTATGCTGGGAACTATTGTTCACATTGTGATCGGTGGTACATTCCCGCGACTTCCTACAAATAAATGATTTTATGCTTCATGGAAAATTTTCACGAGTTTAATCACAAATAATTTGGACACATCAAGATTCAAAAAAAAATATACCCGGGGGATTTTGCTCCCTATATTCCGACTCCGATCACGACAAACTATTGGAAACTATGGGCAGTAATTGTTTCGCTTCGCTAGTGCTCGTGGTACTGTGGAAAATTACGTAAAAGTGCAGTATCATTAAATCATCGGAATTACAAACATGTCACGTGATTCGTTGTTATTTACGGCGTTCAGAAATGGAGACTAGTGAGTTGTTTATAGAACGTAACCGTGTTTATAGTGTATAGCTGGTTATTCAACTATCGGCAGTTACGTGGTAGCCGTTTATACTAGTAATTTGTTTCAATGTTCTTGTTTAAGGATCTGTATTTGAGCGATCGAAGTAGGCTATTTAGGACTGTTTGCTGGACTTGTTTACAATTCGTCTTACTTGTTTATTTTTTTGTTTAAATACCAAAAAAACTATAAAGTATTAAGTGCACAGTAAAAAGGCAGTGAATGGTGTTATACCCACCAATCTTTGTGACGGGGGCTGTCCTGCGCTTTCTAAATATAATATTATAGTGGGCGATGGAGATACACATTCAATGATTCATGAATGTAAGTGCGTGTATATCAAGATGCTGACTAACGTGGGGATACCATGAATAACCAGCCGACCCGAAAAAAGATGCTATACCTGTTTTTTTTTAAAATACGTATTTAAAAAGAAAATCTAATTTGTGTATTCGTCTCCCGTTGATTCCGTAACAGTAAGGATTCATGTGACCATGATGTGACCATGATGTGACCATGATGTGACCATGGAACTATAAACCCCTTATAGTTCCATGATGTGAGTGAGCTGACTGACAATCGAATCGAAAGGAAAGGAAAGAAAAAGACAGATTTAAATTATTTACGCGCCTAAGTATAAACATGGAGGTAGAAAGTAGAAAGTACCCGGAACTAGATCATATCGACATCCTGGTAATAATGTTGAAGGGGGGATATTCACTGGGTTAAATTTTGGCGCATTTGTAATTGCATAGATATTCACAGGGTTTTTAGTAATTGGTTCGTGAAAGACGACATTTATTCTATGGCTAACTCGCATTAACACTGTGCCTGACACTGCGTTTGAATTTAGTGTGTTTAGCTATCAGTGAAATAAGTGAAAATAAGACCCAGTTAATAAGTAGGCCCTATACAGTACAGATTTGTAAACGCTTCTTTCTTTGTTCACCTTTTTAGACTGGTATTTCCGCGTATGCTTTCTAAAAATAGCACACTAAAGCTTTGTCCTTCGACACGAGTAGGTGAACCCTTACAATCCGGGTCAACCGGACACGGTTCAGTGGTGGAGAATCAGGCCCGGGTTCAACTATAATAACCCGGACTTCGATATCAAAGGTGATTTACTACATGTATGTTGATAATAACACCGGCTGCACTTGAATTATTTTGAAACATGTATGGAGAAAGACGTATATCTAACAAATTTAGCAGTATTACCTTTCTCATGTCGTCTTCATCTGCTGTACAGCAAAGTGGTAAATGTTCGTCTGTGACCGAAGTACTCACGCCTCGTGTTTCAGACATTTTTGTGCAAGTACATCGATTATCTGTTTCCAAGTTTGTCTCCGCATCCGGCGTACGTTGCAACATGCCTTGGGTTTTCATACTTAGGCTACCTATAGACGTTTCCAAGTTCCCGATTTCGCTTTCAAACTTCGCCACCACAATAGCTATAGCCGCTGGATATATTAGTAAAATTATCACCGTTTGGATAACTAAAAGCACAATAACGATTGTGGAAAAATTGCAGCTAGTTTTGCTTTCCATCGATAGTGTTCCGATAATTCACGTTGTAAATTCAACATTAATATGTTTTACGATACGTTGCCACGTACGCCAGGTGGAGAATGGTGGACTCATGCAGTGTGCACAAGATGATGGCTGTTGTGATTTGGAAAATTGGAGAGATTCATCAACCGGACACGAACGGGAAATTACCGAAAAACCGGGAAGTCGGACCGGAGGTCATAATGCTGTGTTTACCTTTCAGTTCAGTCTGTGATTGATTATATACAGGTGACATTACAGAGCATGCGCGGAATAATGTCTTAACAATTTGATTTAATCGGTACTAGGAAATACACTCAAATAAATAGTAAATTATTGAGTGACCAAAATTGGTTGATGCACATTTCTATATGTATCAATAATCACCACAGACGGATCTGATAAATAATCTTGTTGAGTCAACTTAATTATTCCCCCGCCATTCAAGTTGTTACTTCAATCTCAGAGAACTAGTACATTTATTAGTTGTTTGACGAACAAACGACTGCGCCACACATTGGCTAGCTTAGTGGTTGTATTGGTTGTAAGTTTTGCGAACCAAGCATGTGAAAGGATAACCCCAGGTCCAAGTAAGCGTGTTCTGGACCCTGGATATCTTTTGAGCGAACACGGTGAAAAAATATCGCACCAAACCAAGTTGAACTTGGGAATAGTACATTCGGATGGCTGTGTAATTCTATACAACTCCATGTCACCTCATACAGACCAGTCATGGCAAAGAACGGGATACGGCGTCTCTATATACATGTAGTCAATAGCATTGTTTCAGATTCATAAATAACCCCGGAAATAAGTAAGGCATGAAAGTATTTATGAGGAAATATATTTAGTTTTATTTAATCCTGAATCCGGCTTCCGTATTTGCGTATTGACTACTAATCACGATGTATGTTACGAGAAACTCGATGAGGCAACCCTAAATGTCGTGTTATATATGGTTTATAACTGCGTATGCAAAGTCACGAGGATTGACTAAGACTTTTTTATTCTGATTATATACAATACGCGAGCCTCGCCAGTGCTATGTTCCTCTCTTTATATGCGTGGTTTACCCCTTATTCTGCCAGCCCCCAATACAATGACTTTATCAGACAAGGGTTATACGGCGTCGCCTATTACGCTAAACCATTTCTATTTGTCAATTCAGCATGTTTACATTAGTTAGTTTCATTAGGTCATTTAGTCTAAACGTATCAACTGTGGGTATTTCATCGTGATCTTAATTTGTTTCAGATTTGTCCACGCAAAGCTGACACGACAGTCATGTAGAAGTGCGAGTTTGCTTCTTTACCTGAAATCTTGGGGTGTTGTTTCGTCACATTTGTTCGTGGCATACCGATACGATTCATAACTGACGATGACGAAAAAACAACACGTTCATAATATAACGTACTATTCTGTCACTAGTGGAAAGATAGCAAATTCATCTAGTTGACGTAACATTTATGCAGATATAATAATTAACAAATCACTAAACTATAAGTTTTCTGTGAATTGATTAGTGATTGTTGTCACTGTGGAAGCAAAGCAGTCTGACAACAGTAGCTTGTAACAGCCTCCAATATCCTAGTTATCCGTATTCAGATTTTCACGTGCAGCATTTTTACGGCGTAAATATTAAGGTCAACAAGTCTGCAACTGAATTAAATTACAATCTTAGGGCAAAGATAAGAACAAAGTTCAATCAATAAAAAACAAATAACCAAGTACTCGAAACTTAACCAATATAAGACTTAAAGGGACATGTGACTGATGCATATGTTTACCACTGTGTAATACTGAGTCAAATACGAATGAATAACCATGACATCGCATGATGAGGTCGAGTGTCTTAAATAAATATTCATCGTTAAATTATGTAAATCTACCGTGTATTGTAGTATATAATTCACGTAACTCATACTCTTAGTATCGACATATTAGTGGTACACATCCACAAAAACGGGTGTTGACGGGTGTGCGATGTATGGGTAAAAAATGTATTAATAACCGTCGCTGAGGGCGCAGCACAAGCTAATCACACTATGAAGAATCATTCCGACACCTGTTGCGCTGTCTGTCGGCTGATACACAATAAAGGTGAACCAGAACAAGATTTCGTGTAAAGAAGCAAACTCGAACTTCTACATGACTGTCGTGTCATTAATCTATTTTTTGATTATAATACATTTCACAACACATGTACTACTACTATTCAAAATAATAGAGTTCGTTATGATTTGTATCGGCTACAGGAAATCGTACAGTGACTCTTTTGTTAGCGGTTTGCTATTGTTTAACATTTAGTCACGTGACATCATAGCATGAATCTTATTGGATAATCTCTGACCAATGGTGGCAACTCTATCAGTGATCAGTAATAAGCTGTCACATCCACGAACGATATCACTTTATATGAACAATCGCGATATGTTTACTTCAAATGTTATTGACAAGGTCACTCGACGAAGGTTTAAGAAGACAAAGAAGAATGTGCGTCATATACCCCAACAGTGAAGTAAGTAGTTACATTACGTGCACGGATATGTCTACACCGTCAACAATTCCAAGGACCAAACTCGTTTACCTTTCATCGACACTGTGTAATAATCAAACAGAATAAGAAATATTCTTATACATTTCAGTTTTTGACTAATTTCCCACTTAAATGTCATATAACATATATAATATTATCAGTTATGTAAGAATGTGTCGATACAATGCATAAGCATAGTATATCAAAAGTAAATACATAATTATATATATATACGTATATACTGTGGAATATTTTATTTTCGCTTGGAACTAATTTTCGTTACGAGTATTTTCGCTGGAGGAATGATTTAGTGAAAATAAAATCAATATACATTTTTCCCAAATTTTACTTTCAACTTGTCAAAAATCAGTGAAAATAAATTCCATACAAAACACCAAAAAAGTCTATTCTGTGAAAATTAATTCTAGCTAAAA